CAAATGGATTGCCAGCTGCTGCCACCTCCTGAATTTATTTTATTTTTATGCCATTTTATATCCTGCCTTTCTGGTGCCTATGCTGACAGCAATTAAAACAAGCCATAAACTATTGTGCAATTACAAAAAGGCAATATAATAAAAAAAAGGACAGTGCAGCCTAGTAAAACAAAAGCATCAGATAAAAAACTATCTAACGCATAAAATACAGTGATACCTCGGGTTACGAACTTAATTCATTCCGGAGGTTCGTTCTTAACCCGAAACCGTTCTTAACCTGAGGCGCGCTTTCGCTAATGGGGCCTCCTGCTGCCGCCACGCCACCAGCAAGCAATTTTCATTCTCATCCTAGGGCAAAGTTCTCAACCCAAGCTACTACTTCTGGTTTAGTGGAGTTTGTTAACCCAAAGTGTTTGTAACCTGAAGCGTTTATAACCCGAGGTACCACTGTAAATGTCTGGGTACAGAGAACATTTTCATCTCATAGAAAACCCAAAAAGAGAGAGGGGCACCTTAGCATCCCATGGTGTAAAGGTAAAGGGACCCCTGACCATTAGGTCCAGTTGTGGATGGCTCTGGTGTTGCGGTGCTCATCTCACTTTATTGGCCGAGGGAGCCGGTGTACAGCTTCTGGGTCATGTGGCCAGCATGACTAAGGCGCTTCTGGTGAACCAGAGCAGTGCACGGAAACGCCATTTACCTTCCCGCCGGAGCAGTACCTATTTATCTACTTGCACTTCATGCTTTCGAACTGCTAGGTTGGCAGGAGCAGGGACCGAGCAATGGGAGCTCACCCTGTCGCGGGGATTCGAACCGCTGACCTTCTGATTGGCAAACCCTAGGCTCTGTGGTTTAACCCACAGCACCACCCGTGTCCCCATCCCATGGTGTAGAGTCCCACAAATTAGGGACAGCCACAGAGAAGGCCCTTTCTTCAGCGTTTATCAGTCAAACCATAGATGGAACATACAGAAGGGTCCTTCAGATCTTAGGGCATAGCTAGCATGGTATCCTCACCCTTGTTTTAATACGAAAAACCCTTGAATTAATACCCATTGTATTGAGAAGAAAAAGACACTAAGGGGTTAGTAGGCCAGGAAGAGGGGCCTGGTGGCTTTCCTGGGTTGCAACTTTGTAACATGCAATGGCTGATAGTCTTAAGTCAAGGAACCTGTTAAAACCTTACAGCTGTTTCTGACCTACTACCACCTTAGAATAAAGCAAGTACCCACTCTGCAACAGGCTATGGTCCCAGGTACCCCAGGAATCTCCAGGAGATCACAGAATAACCTTGTAAGGACTCATAGCTGCCTGATAGGAGGGAAGATTATGACAAAATTTCCCGAAAGCCCTGCTGACTGAGAGGAGATATGATGACAATCTTAAAATACCTCAAGTGTTGTCACATGGAAGATGGAACAAGCTTGTTTTTTCCTGCTCCAGAGGGTAGGCCTCGAACCAATGGCTTCAAGTTACAAGAAAGGAGATACCGACTAAACATCAGGAGAAAACCTTCTGGCAATAAGAACTGTTCAGCAGTGGAATGGTCTCCCTTGGGACGCTGTGAACTCTCCTTCCTTGGAGGCTTGTAAGCAGAGGTTGGATGGCCATCTGTCATGGATGCTTTAGATGAGATTCCTGCATTACAGGTGGTTGGACTAGATGGCCCTTGAGATCTCTTCCAACTCTACAATTCTATGGTTCTATGACTGCAATTAAGCTAAACCAGAATTCCCAAAGTCTTTCTCAAAAGAGAACAGAGTGAAGAATGAGGAGAAGGAGAAAGCATGACCAGCAGCTCACAAATCAAGTTTTCAGTGGGCAAGATGAACAATGTGAATTTTCAATTGTGGAAATTTAAAGTTGAAATACCATTTTCCCAAAAATCCCTACAAATGGGACAAGAAAGATAGACAAGCAAAGGCAACAGTAAGCTTACTAGTGGAAGGTAGTCAACTATTCCACATAAGAAATAAGGCCACATATCTGGGAAAGAGGCCTGAGTGGCTTTCTTCATTTCCCCTTTGCCTTCCTTCCTTGCTTCTGTCTGTAACATCTAATGGCTGATCCTCTTGAGTAAAGCAACCTTGTTAAACCTTACAGCTGTGTCTGCCTTCCTTGGACTAAGATGGAGAACCTGCTTTGCAACACACCTTGGCTTTAAAGTAAATAGGACTATACTATTCTCTTGGGTAATGGGTTCAAAGCAGAGATGTAGGGTGAAATAAATCAGGCTGCTCATACTGTTCTTGGATCACACCTGCTGTACTTTCGCCAATTATTAATAAAATATACATAACGTACCACCACGATAAACGAGAAAAGTTTGTTCTGACTTCTGAACTTGTTCTTGCTGCTAGATAGACAGGAGAAGTCTTCTGTGTGATCTACTTTTAGCAGCAATCGCTGAGTTTGGAATTGGCCTCTCCCTCTGGCCTCCTGGCAGATGAACAGCATGACCCATGCACAGGACTTGGAGAAGTATTTATGGATTGTTACTTGTGAAATTGTTGCAGTGTGATCAGGGTGTTGGCAGGGGTGAAAGGAAGGTCAACCCTGATTGCCCACTCAAGTTGGCACAAAGGCAGGCAGGAACATGGGGTGGGGTGAGGGAGCTTGGGGTGAAACAAAAGGTCAAACTTGCACATTTTCTGTCAACCCGTAACTTCCCAACTTCCCATATCAAGAATCTTGACTATTACCAAATGAAGATTTGGGGCAGCGCTACCAGTTCACCACACTGGGCTATGGTTACCAGATGTCCCCGTTTCCCGGGAACAGTCCCCGGATTTACAAATCTGCCCCTGGACAAAATCTGTCCCTGGATTTCACTTAATGTCCCCGGATTTATATTTTAAGTGTTGTAGATTTATTAGTAGGGGATGAATGTTGTGTGATTGTTTCAATGGCACAAGACACATCATATGGGGACTCCCGGCGAGGCAAAAAGGCAGGCGCCATGGCAGTGAGCAGCTCTTGAAGCCAGCGAGAGCCAACTGCACTACCAGGCTGCTGAGACTGCCACTGCTGTTGCCACTGCCACTGCTGAAGGGGAACAAGGGATGCCCGGCGCATCAACTGGGGGAACTGGTGACCTCCCCAACCCAAATCAAGCCAGGAGCAAGAGTGCCTGGCCACTCAGCCGACTGCCCAGCGGCACTCCGGGGCCTGAAAACCCCAGAGCTGATGCAGGGATAAGGAGGAGAGGAGAAGGAGAAGGAAGAGAAAGAAAGAGGAAAGATAAAAAAGAGCCACCGCAGCCGCTGAGGAGGAGAGGTAAGAGAGCACCGGGAGGGTAAGGACACATGACCAAGCCCAGGCCTGACCTGAGCCTACTCCATGGCAGCTAGCACTCCAAAAGAGCAGGCCAGGGCCCAGAGGATGGCTGCATGACAGAGGAGACCACAGAAGAGAAGATATTACTTCTTAATTTTTTAAAAAACAACAACCCCAGATTCTTTGAAAAAAAAATGGTAGCCTTACACTGGGCGCCAAGCCTAGGGGGTGCCACATGCTGTCACAACTATGATATAGTGCATGTGCAGAGCAGAAGGCTGAAATTTGAAAGACCCAAGCCCGCCCCTGAAAGGCACAAAAAAATTGACAAGGACCTTCAGACTATATATGCCACTCAATATGGGGCAGGGGGAGAGGGGAGAAGCAGCTCAATTTTGGCTAGGATTATATAATGACATTGCCAGCTTTGAGTATCAATACATCAAAGCAACCCACTCTTAATTCATGTCTTGGGAAGGGCAACTTAGATTTCTCAGGTGAAGGAACTAGCATGAAAAGAGCAAACATTTGTTTCCTCTCTGCACCCACAGCCAATGTTTCTGTTGTTCATGTAGTATTACTAGTTTTCTGCATCGTGCTGTGTTGAAATCTGTCTTCCAATTTCCTGAAAGTTTTCTTAATCTGAAAAAGAGGCTTCCTTTTTCTGTCTCATTCTCAGTGCAATGAATAATTTCTTTAGAAGTTCTGAAGGTGCAGAGCTTTGAGCTTACCTTGTCATGCAAGGCGGCTGAGGGTGGTGTGTGTGTTTTTCTAGCCACTGAACATTTATATGGCACTCTGCAACTTCTTGGCTGGGCTGGCAGCTGGCCATGTTTCCTGGTGGGAAAGTGCCCCATGGGAGGTAATGACAGGCTTTAAGTGAAGTGTGGGCACCCAGGAAGGCTACAGAATACAGGCCAGTGGTGAGATGATTTGTAGAATGAAAGGAAGGGCACCCACAAATAGCCCATGGCCACTTCAGAAGTAAGATAAATGCAACCCCATATCTCCTCTTTTTCCTGTCCCCTTTAACCTGCAATTTCTTTTCTCATTAATTGTTGGAGAATGGTAGAACAAATGCAGCAACCATAGCCATAACACAACTAATCTCTGGCTAGTCATTTGTCACAAAGCTAGCATCTGGTCTACCAAACAACAACAACAACAACAACAACAACCCTGACAGCATTAACCATAATTTACCCAGTTCGTCCATCCACTTCCATCTACGTGCTCTGCAAAGAATGTCTTCCTTTCTCACGTCTCATTGGATGACCCATATTCTAGCGGCTTGGTCTCCCAAAGCCTTTCTGCCATTGTACACGTCTCTAAGAGCTGACCATCTTAACCAATGGCAGTCAAGTACCCCCGCTTACCCTACTCCTCTGTGACTGTAATGCAGTTCATCTAGTCATTGCCAGATGTTTAATCACCACAAACTCTCCTAGTGCATTGCTATGTATCTATTTATAGATTTGTCCTGGATACATACACACCTACAGCTATACACATCAACATAACAAATACAGGTTTGCATTAATAACATGGCAGCTGAAGGCAGATTCACACATGACATTTCTGAATTTGAAAACTCTCCCTGCTCCACACACACACACTGTCAACATACCTCAGCATGCCACACTGCCACATTACTATGTGGAGGTGATTTTACAAGAGCCTGGTTGCTTAATAAAAAATGGCAGTGTAGACTCCAATCAGCTTTACCATGATACAAATATTCCATTTATTTACATCTACAGTATACAATTCTTAATTGCCAGTAATAGTGCTTGAGGATTGCTCCAGATGGACTATTTCTTGGTAATCCATCCTTAGAGTACCCAAAATGAGGTGAGCATTTTAAATATAATCTGAGCTCCAGATGCATGTTGAGTATCTTCTTCCATAGAAGAGACATCTGAAAGAAATGGTGATCCCTTTATTGTGCTAAGGATTTGCTCACATAACATGATGGATTTTCATATGAAATGAAAAGGGAGGGGAGGATTCAGACTGAGGTATCTTATTTCAAGAATTCCCAAGAAAACAGCACAGCCAGCTATGTGCTGACTGACACAATGTAGCTCATTATAATCAGAGTTATATCTAAATCAGTATAACTAATTATGACAATTATCTCCATGGATTTTTCCCCTGATTAAACCCACACAGTGTTTCTCCTTCTCTGAACATATTTTGCCACATGCCTTCACTTCAAATCTGCTGTGGTAATGTCACAGTCTGATTTTTTAAAATGCAAAACTGAACTCCCAAACAGGACTTCTGAGCATATACACAGTGTGATTTTCCACCACCAACAAGAATAATCAATCAGTAGTCATTCATTGTAAGAAGTCAGAAACTATGTGTGATATCCAGTGTTAATCAATCATAAAGTAGACCCACTGAAAGTAGACTTTATTTCAGTGGGTCTCATTTGGGTATGAATTAGTTGGCTATCACTCTACCTTTGACATCAAGATACTCTTGAGCCACTGTGATACCACATCCCAATCCTGAAAGGTGTCTGGGTTTTTGAGGGGAGGTGGGGGGGAAGAATGATAGAAGAAAACACCAAAGAGAACATGATCATTCTAATGCAATCAGGTCTCTGTCTATCCCTCCTTTCAAGCTGCTGTCTTTGTTTTAATACAATTGAAACTGTGAAACATGATGTTGTGCATGTTTATTCAAAAGTCTTCACACATTCAATGAGGCTTTTCCCCAAGTTAGGTGATATCAGGTGTGAAGAATTCTTTCCCTCCCCTGATGGCACCAAGAAGCAGGGAGGAAACAAGAAAGTTCTTACTTATTATTTATTTCAGTATCACAGTGAAAGACAAATAATCCTGTCATTCCTCACTGATGGCATTGTTCACACTGAGCTCCTCCCCCTTCACTCTTAGCAACAACACCTTCCTCTATGGCTTCCGTCCATGGTCAACTGCCTCTGTGCCCTTTGTTCTTGCACACATAATGAACGCCGCATTTTGGGAGAAGGAGGGTCAGTTATGCTGTTCAGTGACATGTCAGCTAGCTGCTCTGCCTCCCCTCCTCCTCCTCCTAACACCTCATAACTCTGCTCTTCACCTGTCTCTGAGCTATTATGTTCCTCAAAGCTCTGCTGTAATTTGAGACTGCCTCCCTTTTCTCTGAGAGTTACCGGAGAAGGGGAGGGTGACTTCCACCATTCCTCCTCCTCTTCAGTCCAGTCCCTGACAAGTGAATAGTTAATAATTTATATCCTACTTTTCTATTACCTGGATAACTTTAAAAGAGGTTTAGACAAATTCAAAAAAAGTACATTAATTCTGAGGCTGAATAAAAATTAAGGGTCAAACTATATCTATCATCTATCTATCTATCCATCTATCTATCTATCATCTATCTATGAGGTTTAGACAAATTCATGGAAGATAAAGCAAGCAATGGGTACTAGTCGTGTCAGCTGTACTGGAATCTCTACAAGGCAACATGATTCAAAGTGCAGAGCCCTGAATCACTTAGTGGCACCTTAGTCATCCAGATATTTTGAAAAATGCTGCAGTCATTTTTGAAAGCAAAAGCAATGTCTCTAATCTTTCCATAACACCGGGGTGGGCTAACGGAGAGAAGAGGAGAGCAAATACAGAGTGGGGCAAGGACACAGAGGAATAAGGCTGTTGTCTGCGTTGTAATCAGAGGGATTGGCCAGTGTTCTACAATACCAGTTGCAGGGAACAGCACTGCAAGGTTAAGTTTTATGTCTCTAAGCGGAGGTAAGATGTCAGAATGGGGAAAGGTGAAGAAGCACTCATGCACAACTGACTGATCTCACTTTTAAAGAGCAGGAATGATTACTCAGGAAGTGAAGGAGTCCTTCTCAAATTTATGCCCTCAGAGGGATGGCCTTGCATGCAAATTTCACCCAGTTCTGCAAAAAAAATGTTAGAGATGGTTCCCTTCTGCAGCAGAAGAGTGGTGATCACATTTTAGAGTTGTTCAGCACAAAAGTCCCTAGAATTATTTACTTGTAATTTGCACAAATCTGGAGGGGCTACCATGCTTGCAAATTTTATCCACTTCTGTCAAATAAAAAAAGTTATAAGCATTTTAAAACTTCCCAATAGTGAATGTGGATGGGGAAAACAAAGCGGATTTGAACAATCAAGTCCAACTGTGTTGTTTTTTGAAGCTCTGAGTTGAAACTGAATATTGTGGTTGGTGCACATTTCTACTAGATAGGCCTTTGGTCTGATCAGGCAAGGATCTTTTAATGTTCTTATATACAGTAATAATTTAAAGCAGATGCGGGGGATGCAGCAAGATAAAAGAAGAATTCAAACAATGCAAAAAAAGGGACATACTAAGAAAATAAGAATTTAAAACAGCACTCCCCAGATGAGTGCACATGGAATATCAGCCTTTGTCTTAGAAACTCATTCAGTGCACAGTGCTTATTAAACATACTGGTTTGTATTTCCATTTTTTAAAGTGTCACCCCCCCCTTTTCCTTACCACTTGTAGGGTGCAATGATCACTAAAGAGAGAATGAAGATTCTTCTTCCTGTTCTTGACCATTTTAAACAATGTAGTACCTGAGCACTCAGCACCACCTCTGGACAATAGCAGAAAATGCAAGGGAGAACCAAGCTGAAAACATGCTTTAAATGCAGAGCACATAGGAGAGATTAATCTACCAAACAGATTCATAAGCAACAGAACAAAGGCACCACATCCTTTGTAGAATATGACAGAACTGATAGGTGACAAGGAGAAGAGCAGGCTTCTATCTAATGTGAAAATCTAATCAACAACCCAAAGTGCTTTCTCTCACAGTTAGAATAATTGCATGTTACGCATTGCAAAGTGGGCTTCTTCTTTGTTTCCAACATCAAAAAAATATTAAGAATCAGATCAATGTTTTTGTCCTTTTGCATTAATTTTGGTCAGGACTTCTTCACACTACCAAGGCTCAGAAGTTGTGCTCTCTGAATGGTTACCCCTGATGACACCTACCTAGAATGGTTCAGAGGTTGCATTCACACACCATTTCTGCAATGTTTCGTAAACTTAATACCTGCATTATATTTGAGCTTTCACACAACGTAAAAACCAATTCCAGAAAGCTAGTGGAATCTAGTGGAAATTTAGTACTCATTTCTGTGTTAATTGCTTCCAGCGCAAAACATCAATTTGCAGCCCCATTAACCCAGGAAATCACTGGAGTAAAGTGACAAAATGTGGAGTGGTATATACCAGCCTACAGTTCTTTCCTGCCATTTTCATGGGTGAATCATGGAGGAACAGAGAAGCACACGTGTCCGGCAAGGTGACAGAGTAGCAACACTGTCCAATGGCATTTGTTGTGTCACACCATGTCTATTGGTGTGAATGCAATGTAGTGCAACATGCTGGTTTATCTGTCAAAAAGCCACAGTTCCATAACACAGTAGTTACTGCAGTGCGAAAGGAACGTTAGAAAATGTGACAGAAGCCCTACCATCATAATCAAGATTTTGAAACCTGGAGATAAAACAATTCTGGGGAGAAAACCTACAGTAAAATTAATGCAGTGAGCTCACCTTCAGCCCTCACAAAGTTTACAAAAGAGATACAAAAGTGGTCTCTACTTAATCATAGGTCTGTTTTAAAGGGAAGGTGGAGGTCAAGTGTGAAAATCGGAGTGTTCTATTGTCCGTTATAGAAACAGATACACACGAATGGACGATGGAAGTAACTTGGGAGAAAACAGCCTATTGACTTTAACGACGCCAAAGCTACTGCCTCCTTTGTGCCTTGTATGCAAAAACTTGCATGCCTCCAGCAAAAGTAATGGAACATTAATTGGAAATGCGTCAGCAAAAAACTAAAACTAAAAATACCGTGTCTTGGACATTATTTGAATCTGGTTACATCCCCTTGGGTAATCTGCAACTGTTTATTGTAAAAATTCTAATGTAGTCACTAAGCATGCAGTTGGTATCTCATCTGGCAGATCCCATAAAGCTTCCTTATAAAGATGAACTTGAATTAAAAGCTCATAATGCTTCTACGCATCCAGATAGGTGACAAATAATGTAATCCTGCAGTCCGCTATGCCTGGTTAAGCCTACTGAGTTCATTGGGACTAAGTGAGTAACTGAGTCCAGGGCTGCAGCCAAATCCTTTATCAAAGGGGAAACCGACACAGCTTCTGTAAGCCAGTAAGGCCTTTTAAAGTAGAGTTTGCCAAATGCAAAATTCCAAGAAAACAGCTGTCCCAGAGCTGCAGTCTCTGGAAAAAGAAGAGAAGCTCCTATGTCCAATCAGGAGCCATAATATTTTGAAATAAAGAACAGTCCTACAAAAATAGAGGCTGTGATGGGTCCATAAATTCCTTTTGGAATGTGTGGGTATCATTCACACGTGCATGCAATAACATATTCTTGCACAACATAAAGTCAGCAGGCAGCTGATGATACTCTGGAGCAATGAGAGGCAGTTCTGCAGTAGGCCACAGCCAGCATTGTCAATGACAGGGAATGATACTCTGTGTGGATAAGACTGAGAGGTTTCCAATTCATGCTTCTTTTCCCATTACATCCACTGCTGCAACAGGAATAATTAGAAAAGGGATAAGTAGAACACTGACCCTGCTCTAACCCAGAAGAGACAGACTTCTTGAGCCAGTCTCTCCCAACCTGTTGCCCTCCAGATGCTGTTGGACTACAATTCCCATATTTCCCTGACCATTGGCCAAGATGGAAGGAGGTGATGGGAGAGTCTAAAACATCTAAAGGACACCCAGCTAGTCTAAATGCACAGCTTGGTGTTGACCTCCACATGGAGTTATTTCTGGACCATGCTACTTCAGACTTAACAGGTGGAGAAGCCCCATGCTCTCTACAAACATCCCTGCATGGAGAAAACAAGAATATTAGAAATAGGATTTTTGAAAGTAGCTCTCAACCTTGCTTCCATTTCATGCAAAGGGGGTCCAAGAAGACCTAAACCACACAGTAGAATTGTTCCTTAAAACAAGTGCCCCTTTTTTGTACCAGAATGAAGCAGCTCCAAGTGTTTAGCAACAGAAAGCTAAAATGTCTTCGGTATTGCTAAAGTATAACTCTTAAAAGTTATCTCCTTAAAAACAGAATTTTAATGACTTCATTTGACCTCTTTCATTTCCCAAGCTGTTTAATTAAAGTGACTTGGGTGGTAAGCCCTCCAGGTACAGAAATGAAGATTTTGAAACAATGATTGCTGCAGCCTGTTTTGAACCCCTGTGAAAGAGAAGCCTATGAATAGAAACAAATAAATAAATCACACAACGGCGTCACCGGGTATCCAGAGTAGGGAGGGCAGGAGAAAACTGCATTTATTCAATGAACATGTCACCCACAGCCTAAAAATAATTGTGTGGAACAGGCTCCAGGAAGCCTGCAGGTTGTGTGGCACTGGAGAGGAGATAAACTCTAAATAGAAAGACAGGGGTAACGGTCTAGGAGAGGTTTTCTTTTCTTCAGAAAGGAAAATTAAGGGTGATAAAACGCTCCCATTTTTTCCCTGCATATTGCTGCAAATATGTGGAGAACTGAATTTAAGGCTGGAAAAATGAGAAACAGGGAGAAACAAAGTTGGAAGATCCTTTGATTCCTAGGTGGGTGAGAACTTACCAGACCAAAGTTCTTTCTTGGAGATCAATGGGTTTCCACAGCTCTGGAAAAAATGAAATGTTTTGTTTGCCCCTTACATTCTGTACATAGGAACAAGCATAGGTGCATAGTCTTATACTAGTCAGGCAATTGGTCCACATAGCTCAGTATTGTTTTCACTGATGGACAGTGGCTCTCCAGGGTTTCAAAGAGGTTTCTCTCCCATATCTACCTGGAGATGCTGGGCATTGACCCTGGGACCTTCTGCATGCAAAGCAGATGTTGTGTCATGAGTTACTGCCATTCCTCAAAGAGTTGTCCCTTCCTCCAGTAGCAACACCAAGTGTTAAGCAGCTCTCTTTTTGAGGCTCTGGGGTTCCTCCCTGGGCAAGAAGGTATCAAACTCCCTTCTCTTGTAGTATTCAACTTTTACACTTTGACACTGAAGGGAGCCCTTTCCTCTTCCCCACCTCAATTTGCTATTCCAGTTTTGGCTTGCAACAAAAAGTTGAATTCTAGCTGTCTGGCCACACTGAAAGAGACACAGCATGTTCCCTCAAGTGCTGCAGATCTGTCCACTGGGTAGAGAGTTAAGTCAAGAAATAGTGGTATAATTTTAGTGAATCTGGTTAAGTTTTAATTTTGTTCCACAGGGGGAGATGTGTTATCCGTTTAGTGATGAATGTTGCTCAATGAAATTACAAAGTAGGGTAGAGGGAGAAAGACTGTGGCAGCTGCAACCATTCCAGAAGGAGCCATTACTATTGCCAACCTCTATAAAGTGTGAATGCCTATCACCAGAGTTTCAAGGTAGAAGTCCATATTGGTTACCAGTGCAACATAATGAGGATGTGTCAGCTTGCGTTAAAAAGCACAGAAGAACTATTTGCTAGAGGTCTGCAGGGTTCTAAATCTCATAAGGAGCCTTCAGAAGTAGAGGAGTTTTCCTGCTTCAGACTTTTACACTCCAACTCTGAGGGAGAGAATGGCAATAATGGTGCAGGCAGAGGTATGGAGCTTAGCTTGTTAAACCATACTTGGGTATTGCTTTTACATGCAACATCATTTTGCGCTCTCTCAGCTCTCAGCTGGAAGAACATCACCTTCACCAAGCTTTGACAGGATCTCTTCCTTCAAACCTGAGAGAGAACCCCAGCTACCAAGAAATCATCTCCTGTCAATAGTTCCCATTACTGAATCATCAATCAATTACCCTTGGACTCTTAATGAGTCATCAGCCTGAAAGAAGAAACCAATTTAGGCACAATCCACTGTGAAATTTTCCTGCTCTTTGGAGTGAATGGGAATATCTTTTTTATATATATGTGGTATATTGTGCCCTTTCACACCAATTAAAAATTGTGTCATTTTTTTTGTCACTTTGATCTGGTTTATGTGGGAATATTGTGTTACTAAATGTGGGAACTGTCAAGAGGGAAAGTAATAAAGAAAGTTGGAAATTTTGTTATGTTCTTCTTAGTTTCTATATAGAGATTTCAGTCCACGCTTTACCCAGAAAAATAACACATGCAAGAAAATGTGACATATTATGACTTCCTTCCTCTGTTATGCAAGTCAGGCACAAACAGGGCAAGGATCAGGCACTATTATGATTTGGTGGTGGTGCTGACTGAAAGTTTCCATCTGGGTCATGCACTCACATTATAGAGGATTTGTGTTCCATGGTGAAGAAAGTTGATGCAGGCATGGGTGGCTAACCTGCAACCCTCCAAATGTTGCTGGACTATAGTTTGCACCATCTCTGATCATTGGCCACACTGGTTGAGGCTCCTTGGAGGTGAAGGGCAGCAACATCTGGAGGACCAGAGGTTAGCCACCCCAACATGCAAGTATGTCATCTCACTCTACATTTCAGGGATAATGCCAAGGTGGCTACCTACACATCACTCAAGAAGAGCAAATGCATCCTCACAAGAGAGGACAAAACAGTGCACAGATCTGCATGCAATTTGCATGTGCTTCTTTGCAGCTATAGATGCACATTCAGAAATTATTACAATAATTTAAACAGAAATCAAGACAACTCACCCTCTGGGGAAAGACCCAAGGGTCCTGCTGGCCTACTTAGGGTTCTGTCTAGTTGTTAACAGTTGGTGGGTGACTACAGGGCCCATGCTCTCCCTTCTTATAGTTCTTTATGTTTAATTTGGAACTGGACTGGACCAGGAGGGGCTGGTAAGGATCGGTGGCACCACACCCCTGACCTCCCAGAAGCGGAGTCACTACCATATACTAGGGGGTGTGAGGCAGCAGGCAGATTCAACGGCATGGGTGCTTTGGCAGAGGCAATCCAATACTCCTGCTGATGTGCCCACACAGCACCAGCTTCCCTGCTGCCTCACCTTCTCCCTCCCAGAAAGTTGCAGTGACTCCACTGCCAGGAGGTCCTGTTTACAGCTCCTCACTTACTACTCCTGGACTTGACTGGACTGCCCTTCAAATAAAAGAAAATTTAAAACAGAGGACTGACTGTTGTCTGTAAAGGAGTCACACCTTCCCTCAGGATATAAGAATAAACAAAAGAGAGGCAACATTAATTAAGGATGCTGTCTGTTGTGACAAGTATTTGCAGTGGACATAACAGAGGCAAGAATAAGTCTTATCTGTTGTCCAGCATATGGACAAGAAGTTCTTCGTAATATATAACTAAAAGAAGTAGATGTGTTTGTTGCTGTCCGTGTTGGCATTCACAGTAAGACAGCATCAGTAAATGGCTAAGCACTTCTTTTTATTCATCTAGCTCCTCAACCATCTCAGCCTATGGAAACAGATTATTGGTTAGATTACCAGTAGTACTGTCAGGACTGGTGGTCTCATCCTAAAGGAATTGAACTGAAAAATTGATCTTCGCTTGTGCGTGGAACTGACTTTATCTATTAGGGAAAGAAAGTCAAAAACTCATTTAGTAAATATGATTGGCTGTGTTTATCAGTAATTACGGACAGGTTGAAAAAGACTGGGACTTCAGTGTGTACGCTGGGCCTCACCTTGAGTGCTTTATTTTCTGAGTTTCTTATAAAGGACTGTGGGCTACTAAAAGATTCTATCTTCAGTCTTAAAGTCACTCAAACATTTATTATCCACTGAGAAAAACAACAATGGTTATGTCCTCTATGTGGCCTTGATAGAACACAGAAAGTATTCACATCTTGTTTTGAACTGCCACTTCTTTCCCCCCTCAGTGTCACTTCCCATTCACTCTGCTGAAACCTCTGCCATTGTTAAAAATTACCACTTCCCCCCTCTCACTTCTCCTCCATCCCTGGTCTACTCAAATGTCTGCTGTTGTTAAAAACTACCACTGTGGTGCAGCACTACAAATACTCCAATGGGGACTGTGTAATGATAGCCGTCTTATGATCTGAAAAGTAAATTAGGCTTTGATCCTATGCACTCTTACTTTGAGAGTAATAACCATTCATTTCAGAGGAGCTGGTGCTTACTTCTGAGTAGACATGTATAGGATTGTGCTGTTATCTAATTCCCAAGCCTTTTAATATTTCTATTCACAGAATTTTTGCCCAGAAATTTCAAATCACTACAGAAAAACACCCCTGCTCTCAGGTTTACAAACTAAAACTGCATGACACAAATGGAAAGTGGTTTAGAAGGAATGAGGAAATAAGCAAACTTGAAGTCAGGTTCTTCGTTACAATTTCTAGTTATTATGCACCTACTTTACTAGTGAACTGAGATGGTATCTTGTTAGACTTCTTAGGCTTTTGTTCTGGCTCCCAAATTCTATATTCTGGCCACAAGGCTTCTCCTTGTACCACATATCTATCTTCAAATATCTGCCCCACACTGCCGAGACTTTATAAAGTCTTTATTGTTGTTTCAGAACATGCTTTTACTGAATTTAAATTAAACTATGGTACAGTGGTACCTCGCAAGAAGAATGCTTCGCAAGACAAAAAACTCGCTAGACGAAAGGGATTTTTGTTTTTTGAGCTGCTTCGCAAGACGATTTTCCCTATGGGCTTGCTTCGCAAGACGGAAACGTCTTGCAAGTTTGTTTCCTTTTTCTTAACACCGTTAATACAGTTGCGACTTGACTTCGAGGAGCAACTCATAGAACGCGGTGTGGTAGCCTTTTTTGAGGTTTTTAAAGACTTTGGTGATTTTTGAAGCTTTTCCAAAACTTTCCCGACACAGTGCTTCGCAAGACGAAAAAAATCGCAAGGCGACAAAACTCGTGGAACGAATTAATTTCATCTTGCGAGGCACCACTGTATTTTATTTCTCCAATATATATGATACAATTTGGATTTGAACCTCCTGAAACATGTGGTGAGTCATAGAATAGTTTGAGCTGTTACCTTTGGTCAAGTTTTGATTGCTTCAAATAATTTTTATTTATTTATTTAAAACAAACTTTATGAATTAGTATTTATTTGATACACAAATTAAGCTAAGAATGGAATGGTAAAAGCAGTGGTTTAAAATATCTTGTTTGTTTTCCAGGAAATAGTAAAGATTTAAAGACAAGCACGCTGACTGTTGCCTACACCTATATAATCTAGCTGTATGTTTGAAAATAAAAAATATATTTTAAAAAATGCAAAATGTGTGCAGCACTCTCTGCTTCAAAGGAAGTAACCACAAAGGTGCTCTCTATGGAGCACCCTACTGCTCAAGGAGGGGTGAGGCATTAAACACCGTACAAATATGGTGTAACAGGTCCATTGGATAAAACATATCCAAGTAAATATGGATGCTCCTAAGAACAAGTGAAAGTCATAAAAGCATGGAATATCAATGCTGGTATTGATATAAATAGTGCTGTAAGCAGGCTGCTATGCATCTTCACACCTAAAATTGCCCTATACTTTTGGTTGTCAATATCACTATTATTTCATTATTTGCTCATCTATTGATTACAATCCTCTGTGCAGCTGCACACTTTTAAAACCAAGTGTTTTTGGCTGATGGATACAGTGTACTGAACAAATACAAATACATAGTTACTATGATCTGTCAGAAGGCACCAGTCAATTATTTGCAAAAATATTGAAACTGCTTGCTGTTCTCAATTTCTGTGCCCATATTATATCATTGCATACCAAGCTTGCAACAGAGTGCATATTATATCAATGATCACTTGCAAAGGTACACCTTTCCCCTTCTTCTTTTTAGCTACAGGATGCCTAAAGTATACAGTGTCAAGGCGTTAAAAAAAAAATAGCCACTAGTAGTTTCAATATCAACAGGATTAGTTCCATAAATCAGTGCAGCAGCTGGGGAAGGAGGGCTATCAGATCGAAAGGGTGTTTTTGTTCTGATCTAGAAAAATAGACTCCCAATATCTAAGCATTCTAAAATTAATTTAATTTTTAATATGCTCTTGAAACCTCTGCTAATGAATCATGATTGCTATGTGAGTGAATCAAATTATTATAAGTGATGATTCACTCCAGGTGTTCAAAAGTGACACAACCCCAGCTCCCATCTCTCCTCATTATGATGCCATTTGATTTGGAAAGGAGGGCGTTAAGGAGCCTTGTGGCACGTCTTTTAACAAACCATAACATTTCTGAAAAAGATGGAGATACCCAAATCATTTGCTTCTTCCTTTTCTTTGGCAGCATCAGCTCATCATTCCCTGTCAGCTTGGTACCAACAAGCTGTTGCTAGGATGTGGATGTTTCCATGGCAATAAGCAAACCACTTAGCAGAGCTAACAAACAGAACTCTCTCTTTTGCTCTCAACTCCCTCCTGCACCTCACCATGCTTGCTCAAGGCGTATAGGTGTATTCACTATTATTAAGCCCAAACAAAGCTGAGAACACTGCATGGCTGATTGCATCTTTTCTTGTGCAGAACACATCTGCAGATTTGATTATTCCAGTGAAAGTTTTTGATTAGTGGGGGGGGGGGTTAATTTACCCCTTGGGAGTAATGTGTGGCTATCTGATATGGGGTCTGACTTCCAATGGATAAGCCAAAGTTATCTCAAGAGTCAGAAGGAACATCCAGTTTCTCTTAAATGAATATGGATTGCAGGATGACCCAGGTGCTCTCTTGTTCTTTCTAGATGACTTAAGGATGCCTGATAGCTTCCTGTAGCACACTCTGCAAGCATGAAGAGACTGTGTGTGATTGCCACCTGTTGGGTCTGAAACTGTAACTACAGTGTTGTGAGCTGCGATGGGCGAATAATATGACTTGATGGAGTGGTTGCCCATATCGCTCCAAAGTTCAAAAACCCTTCCCAGTTCAAAAACCAGGCTCAACAACAAATTTAAAACACTTAATTATAAAAGCAGCATAAAATACAGTATAAAAACATGAATAACAATAAAATTAAAAAATCAATTAGATAATCCCCAGGGCTAGCTGGCTGAATTGGTCCTACTTGGGCCAGCAAGGAGGCCAGGGGAGAATTAGCTGTGGGGTCTCAGAGTGGGTGATCTTCATAAAAGGGAGGGGGAGGGAAGAGGAGGAAAATAAAAGATCAATCTGAATTCAAATTAAAGGCCAGTCGGAATAGCTCTGTCTTACAGGCCCCACGGAAGGAGGTTAAATCCTGAAGGGCCTAGTGTCATGGGACAGAGCATTCCACCAGGTCGGAGCCATCACTGAAAAGGCCCTGGCCCTGGTGGAGGATAGTCTGACTTCATTAGGGCCCGGGACCTCTAAACTATGGTTATTCATTGACCTTAGGTCCTCTGCGGGGCATACCAGGAGAGGCGGTCCTGTAGCTACAAGGGCCCTAAGCCCTAAAATTCTGCTGTTTTTATGGAAAATACTACCACTTTCAACTTTTCCTACATTCTTCAAGATGTCTATGTTTTAGATGAGTCATCTGATGGCATGTCTTCAGTGTAAACAAGTAGCTTGGGAACCTTTGTTGCCATTCATGGCTACTATGTTTCCGTAGAAGAGAGGTAGGTGCTAAGTAGAACATAGGAAGTGGTGTTATTGTCAGTTTGCATTTCTTAGTATTGATCTGATGTGTAGAGATCTTTCCTGTTCTGCTTAGTTCAAGAGGGTTCTGGATGCTTGTCTGTAAGAAAGAAGGTTACTGATGTTTGGGTTATTCCTTCAGGGAAGCTGAGTACAGCTGGTTTAAACTGGTTCTGTTATCCTTTCTGTCAAGGTCATTCTGACTATAATAGTCAGGCCAGGAGGAGCCTGGCTTTCACACTTGCTCTTTCTATCTCTTTGTTCTGGTGTGGTGTTCTATATGCAGTGTTCAGGTTTAGTCTTACTGTAGGTTCTTGTTAGTTTAAGTTAAGTCTGCTGCAACTGGATTTCTTATGGACTGTGCCAATCCTGAATGTATTGGATTTGTGACCATTATGCTTATTTGCCTTCAATAGCAGTAAAAAGCAGAGACATCACCTTGCCAACAAAGGTCCGTATAGTTAAAGCTATGGTTTTCCCAGTAGTGATGTATGGAAGTGAGAGCTGAACCATAAAGAAGGCTGATTGCCGAAGAATTGATGCTTTTGAATTATGGTGCTGGAGGAGACTCTTGAGAGTCCCATGGACTGCAAGAAGATCAAACGTATCCATTCTGAAGGAAATCAACCCTGAGTGCTCACTGGAAGGACAGATCGCGAAGCTGAGGCTCCAGTACTTTGGCCACCTCATGAGAAGAGAAGACTCCCTGGAAAAGACCCTGATGTTGGGGGAGATTGAGGGCACAAGGAGAAGGAGCTGACAGAGGTCGAGATGGTTGGACAGTGTTCTCGAAGCTACCAGCATGAGTTTGACCAAACTGCGGGAGGCAGTGGAGGACAGGGGTGCCTATGGTCCATGGGGTCACGAAGAGTTGGACACGACTAAATGACTAAACAAAAACAACAGCAGTAAAGCTCTGCTGGATGAAGTACAATTGCCTGTGGTCTATTTTTTAGGAACTCTGCAACATGTTTAAGTTTTGCTCCACACACGACAGTTATGCCAGGTCAGGCCATTTGTCCCTCTAGAGTAGTGTCCACTCTGACTGGCTGCAGATCTCAAACAGAGCTCTTTCCCATCACTTGCTACCTCATCCATGCATCTCTAGAGACTTAAATCTGGGACCTTCTTGTCATGGACTGGCTAGAAGCAGAGGAGTGGTGAGAGGCACCAACTGGGGAACCCCCAAGGGAACCCCCAGGGGAAGATTGCTCAGAGCCAGGGGATTGGTGGTGGGACAAGGATGCGAGGTCAGGGGAGGGGAGAGGGGGCAGACTGAGAGGAGGTGGTGTCGGAAGCTGAAGCAGGAAGAGTCTGGGGCATAGAGCAGTCCATAGAGCAGAGGCTGGAGAGGAGAGGTGCCAAGAGACAGCAATGAGGCAGGCTATTTAAGAATGCATGAAGTCTCCCCCTCCTGCTGCAACCAGCTCCCCTCTGCCCCCCCCCGTCTCCTAGAACATGCAGAACATTTCATAAATGAAAAGAGCAGAGGAGAGATTGGTTGCATGCAAAAGCAGTCTAAGACTGCTTGGAAAAAACCCTGGAGAAGAGGGGACATAGGCAGCTGTGGAAAGGGGGGTGACATTCAGTCCTCACAACTGCCTCATTGAGGCAAGACCCATGGGGTAGAGTTGCTGTAATCACTAGACCTGCTTGGTTCTGAATAAAGATTTGATTTCACTGACACCGTGCTTTTTATTGCTGACCTACACCTGACTCCAGCTCCTGCATGGAAAGCACTTGCTCTCCTACCAGTGGTGGCTGATGCCCATTGGCACTGGTGGGGCAGAAGGCAGAGAGCCCAACAATAGGCAGATCCAGAGCAAATGATAGATGGAACCAACTAATTCTAGTTTGACCTTCCTCTTCCCTGCTGAGTTTTACCAGGCCAATACTGAGACTGAGGAGGAAGGACAGGCATGGCAACCCTGCCCTAGACTGGTTGTAAGTATGACAGCAGAGGAAGCTAAGGAGCTGGTTCAATGCGGACTGGGCTTAGTGGAGCAGTGCCCCAACGGACCAGCTTCCACTACTGAACTATACTTCTGCCCCATAGCTGTGTGTAACTTTCCACAGTAATAAATTGTTCATCTTAAATTGGTTGTTTTCCCTCATGAAAGGCTGAGTCGCAGAATGGAAAGAGCAAAAAGCCAACCAAGTTTCTTTTGTTGCACAAAGTATTATAACAGTTAATGCTCTGAGTCTTCCACCATAATTTCTGGCAAGTCCCTTAACAGCCAGGCAGAAATTCAACAGGAGCATGGATGGGTGCAGCAATGAAGAAATCTTCACCTGCAAAGTTTCTGCCTGACACACAGACAAAAGGGTGGCAATTTTTTGGCCCCATCCAAATATTATAATGTAAATCGTAGAATGCTTCCATATGTCGCAAGATGCTGCCTCACTTAGCTAATACAGTGATACCTCCGGTTAAGTACTTAATTCGTTCCAGAGGTCCGTTCTTAACCTGAAACGGTTCTTAACCTGAAGCACTATTTTAGCTAATGGGGCCTCCTGCTGCTGCCACGCTGCCGGAGCATGATTTCTGTTCTCATCCTGAAGCAAAGTTCTTAACCTGAAGCACTATTTCTGGGTTAGTGGAGTCTGTAACCTGAAGCGTATGTAACCTGAAGCGTATGTAACCTGAGGTACCACTGTAAACAGAAAATGCTATAGATAGGGTTGCCAACTGACCAGAAGGAAAGAGGGTGATCTGTTCCTGTTCCTTTCACAGCAACACAACCTGCCGAAAACAGCAGGTGAAACATTTTGTAGGATGGATATAAGCCCGCTGTTCTTTGAAGAACAATATTTGTTAAAGGTATTGGAGTAGGGGGCAGTTTTAAAAAACAACAACTTGGCAATGGGAAATAGCTCATTAAACAAGTTACTACCTATTTAGATCTCTCATTGCTATTTTGGTGCAGGGGTAATTTGTCTCTGGTGCCAATCTTGCCAATTTTTCTGAACCAGCAGTAAAAAGAACTTGTACTGTCCTTTGGGCCTACGTGAATCATCTGCGGATGATGAACATCAGCATGATTAAGAGTACCAATTCTCCACAAAACCATTCACATGGAAACTATTTAGCGACAGGCAGAGAGTGATCAAGTCCCAATGTGCATGAAATGCTTCAGTGGCTAAAGAAAAACAGGATGAGCAGAAATGCTAGTATGTAGGTAGAGGGGAGAGGGAAATGGTTCGTTTCACATTTAAAAGTAAACCTACGTAATTCACAGTTTCCAAAACTATACACAAACTGAAAGACAGCAATCCTTCAGAAACTGCACTTCTCCAAATTTTGCAATGCAGTTCCCCAGCCAAGTGATGTATAGAAAAATGTATATATTAGTCAGTATAGCATACAAAAATGCATTGTATTAGGTGAAATTGTTTTTTTAAAAAATGTGTATATTACACAAAATTACATGCAAACCTGTATATAATTGTTATTGTTTTTATTTTGATTATATATTTTGTGGTTTTATATTTTGATTTTATTCTATGAACTGCCCTGAGACCTCTGGGTATAGGGTGATATATATATATATATATATATATATATATATATATATATATAATGTTAAAATGCTAATTAGTTTTCTGGAGGACTTTTTTTAAAACAATCATCATCATCATAAACTGATATGGGATTCTAGAGGATTGAATGGCAGCTTAAGAAACAGAGAAACAAAAAATGACAGATCCAGCCATCCCTAGGAAAAGGGATCATGAATCCTCCATTGAATGGTAAGGAGAAGGTGGCAATTCCCTTTTGGGTGTACCACAATTGTTTCTTCTGAAAGGCAAAACCTGTTTTTTGGTGCCTTGCTTTCCTAAAATAAGACCATAAGAAAAGCCCTGCTGGTTCAGACCAGTGGGCCATCTCTTCTAGCATCCTGTTCTCACAGTGGCCAGTCAGATGCCTGTGGGAAACCTGCAAGCAGGATTTGAGCACAAGAGCCCTCTCCCCACCTGTGGATTTCAGCAACTGGAATGATGATGCAAGAAGGGCTGTGGGGTGGGTGTATTTCCCTGGGCTAATGATACGCACAGCATATTTTTAGGAGCTGTGTCTAAATATTTCCAGCATGCTGTGCACAATATGGTTGTTTGTGCCTTCCTTCAATATGTGATAACATTTGTTTAATGATTTCTCAGGCACCGACCCAAGCTTGACGGTATCTGCTGTTAAGTTCTAATGAAACCGGGGGAGGGAGTCGCTTACTAAAACTGGAGCAATATATTCAGCAGCACCCCCTCCAACTTCCCTTTGAAACCCAACTGCAACATGTTGCCTTGGGACGAAATAGCATTCATTGCAGGAGAACTTCATTCCTTCTTCATATGCTTGCTTTATTGTTTCATCCTTAAGTTTTCCTCTTTGATATTTTTTCTTCTAGTCTTAGGATCACTTGCACTGCTAAGATTTTAAAGCTCACGGATACACCTGCAAACCAGTTCTGTGTCAGGAGAAAGCATAATACACATTGCCAATAATGAGGAAGAAATGCACTGGCGTTCTAAGAATGTAGGATAAGTTTATCATTCCTTTTTATTTAAGGAATGATCAACAGCTGCCCCACAAATGATTCCAAAGTGGCGTACAATAGAAATATAAAGGAACAATAAATAGAGGGAAATAGGCATCTACATAACAATTTTGCAAAAGATCTGAAAAGCATTTAATTACACAAGTTCTGTATAGTATACAATATAAAATAGGCGAGTCACCTTTCAGGGAAAGCCCTCTCTGAAAGATAAACTTCCAACAGCAAAAAACTAAAAGCAAAAAGACTGAGTTTGACTGGAAGCTGATCCCACAGAGCTGGAGATGTTACACTAACAGCTGATGACTGGGGCACCACCACCACCCCCCATTACAGGAACATATGGGCAAGGTGGTATGTCAGATAAACTGGCCTCAAGTTGTACAGAGCTTTAGATGCTAAAAGCAAAACCTTGAACTGAAATAAAGTGCTATCCCACTATATACGGTAAGCAGCCTTGTGTCTGATTGTTTATGTACATATGTATGCATGGAAGTTATGTATTTCAAGCAGTGCTGTATTATTTTAAAATCCCTAGGTTGCAAATTTCAGGTGAAAGTTATTGCAACACACTTGTTTTTTTCTGCCTTTTTTTTCAGGCCCCAAACAAGTCCACAAGAAACTAGTCAGATTTTTTTTTTTTTTTTAAAGACATGGATCAAAAACCCATTGAAAAAATTGTGGCAGATCCACACTATACATTTAAAGCACTTCCAACACACATTTAAAGCAAATGTGCTTCATGAAAGAATCCTGGGAACTGTAGTGTGTTGAGGGTGCTGGGATTGTAGCTCTGTGAAGAGGAAACTACAGTTTCCATGATTCTGTGGGGAAGTCATGTGCTTTAAATCTGTGCTGGATGTACTTTAAATAAGGTGTGGATCTAAAGGCTGGGTGCAATGGAATAATTTGGATTAGATGACATTCTATGGATGAGGGTTGAATTATATTTAGG